AATTCGAAACTATTTAAGTGTATATATCAAAAGGTTCTATTAAACAATGTAGAGGTCTAACTCCTTATGATCGGATTAAGACAAAATTGAAAACGGCTAAAGGGTGCTATTTTGCAATGGAAAAAAGTAATAACGGGGCAAGAATTTGAAAATTATATTTGACTACATATAAGACAATTTTTAAGGTTCTCGTTTATGTTAACTTTATTTATGATTTTTAGCATAAAATAATAAAGGTTAGGACTTCCTTTATTAACTTCAACACTTTTAAGCAAGCATAACGTGTTTTATTCCAAAACAATTATAAAAAAGATACCTATCCCGCGGGATTATTGTCATACTTTTTAGTAAATAAATCAGGAAAATATCTGTTGATTGTTAAATTTGTATACTTATTAGTTGTGTTATATACGTATTACATTACTGTAGGTATATTAACAAAACGATTTACGTTTTTTATACAGGGTGGTCCTTAAGTAATTGTACAAAAAGAAATCGTAGATTTTGCACTTTACCATTACCAAACATTACCATTTAAGCCAACTTGCCTTAATAAAATATTCACATTAAGAAAGATACACGGTGTTAAAGTAGAAATTTAAAATTTTATTTTTCACTTTTGTGTTTGTAAACAGTTATTTATAAAAATTTACAACTAAGTACTTTTGAATATGAGGAACTAAAATTTGATGTAAACTTTGACGTAGCTGATAGATGGCGCCACATATGTGGCATACATTTGCACCTAACTTTTTTGCTCTTTAAGTTATCGGTTATTTTGATAAAAAAATTAAGATACATTATTTTAACAAAAAAAAAAGTATTCCTGTTAATAACTTCAGAATTCAACAGTATTCGAGATAATCGCATTTTGCAAATTAGCTGCATAATTTTGATTTAACGCAATTACTCCAGGCAACGAAGGAAAAAGGGACAAAAACATTAATACTTCTGAATTTTGGTATGAAACACCTTTAATTTAAGTTAATAATTACCGAAATAATAAATAAAATAAATATACCAGCACAATAATTAATAAAAGGATTTGACAAAATAACAGAATAATAGGATTTTACATAACACATTTTACGTTTTATATTAAATTAAAGTCATAATAAAAAACATTTTATTTACAACCCAAATTAAAAAATAGTTAAGTGTTAAGTAATGTTCACCATTTTCTTTATTTCATTTGCCAATACATTCCATAAAAGATCGTCTCAGTGATTCTAAAGAAACTGCTGCAGTATTTATTATTATATTTGTTTATATAAAGTATTCTTTTGGAATATTAAGTAAATAATAAGTATTCTTATGGAATATTTTATGAATTAAATAATTATATCAATCTTACAATTCATGGCCAAGGAATATCACGATCAATGTATGTTCTCACTGCCCTCTCTCTACAATGTGGTGTACCATCTTGAATAAACCACATATTTTGCCTTAAGTTTGATGGCAATTCTTTCAACAAATCAATAAAATATTTTCGTAGAAATGTAAATAAATCTCTCCATTCAAATTACAAGGTAATTCGCATGCCCGTAAAAAATAATTAAAAATAGTACCAAACCATAGGATATGCATTTTAAACATGAATTTTAAATACACGCATGGTTTTTAACCAAGGGTAATTATTTTTTACGGACATGCGAATTACCGTGTAGTTTGAAGGGTAAGAATTCGCATGTTCGCAAAAAATTATTACCAATGGTTTCAAATCATACGCTTATTTAAAATTCATGTTGAAAATGCCTTTCTCTCTTTATATGAGGATATTCAGTATCTCAGAAGTGATTTTTCTTTAAATTAAAAAGACCATGATGTGTAAATTTAGATTCGTTCGTAAAAAATATTCTATCGACGAAGGAGTGGTCAAGATTTTACCTGTTTCGGACATCCTTTGCAAATCTGCAAAAAACGGAAAGGAAGAAAATGCTTACGGTGTAGGATTTTTAAAGCTGAAATTTGCTGATTCTTAACGCTGAAGATATCGTCAACGCGAACCATTACTTCATCTTCCTGAGTAGGCGTAATGTTATTGTGGTGGTTAGGTTGTAGGCTGGTTGGGAATCTTTTTAATTATTTCTTCTCATATCTAAGTTAGACAAATTATTATGCCTCAGCATTTTCTAAATTTCTTTAATAAACAAAAATAAATTATCGAAACAAGACTTGTTTTTAGTTATCAAGAGTATTCGTGACATCAGCCCACTAAGTTAAAATTTCCCGTAATACATTGGGTTTACCTACTGGCATCAGAACTGGCTTCAAAAGAAAGTGGTAGGTTCAGTAGCTGGCCATGTAGACAAGCGCGAAGCTTCATATTATGTTTCCAATATTTATTAAATAATATTTTTAACATTTAATTTAGTAATATGAATATTTAATCATGAATTTGATAGTAAACCTAATTATTATATATAATAAATAAGATGTTTAAAAATAAAGTGTAATTATACTTTGAAAGAAATTTATTAACAAATAACTTGAAAAATATATGATAACTAGACAAAACATGATAGAGAGTAGTAAATCGATGTTAAGACCGTTATTTCGTAAAGCTACTCGTGACGCTGTGTGTAGTGCGTCTTCTGTGACGCTTGCCACAGCATTTTACAATAGAGAAAAAGTAATACAACGCCAGTATATAGAAGCGATAGAGAATGGAAATTGTAAACATGATGACGGCGAACGTCGTACGGACACGGCACCTAAAGAAGATAGAAGCTTCTCCACAATAAGATATTTAGCAGCCATAACAAAGCATTTTGTGATGTTACATTATCATCGTTAAGAACATGGTTATGCTTATCCACAGGTATTCAGTACTTTACCGCACAAACATCACAACTAAGAATTATTTTGCAGCTGACTTATAAAATGCGATTATCTCGAAAACGGATGAGTTTTCAAGTTATTAACAGTTATACGTTTTCTCTATAAAAATAATGTATGCTTAATATGTTTTAAAACAAATAGCGCTAACTTAAAGAGAAAAAAAGTTAAGCGCAAATGTATGCCACATATGTGGGATATGTGGCGCCCTCGATCAGCTACATCAAAGAGTGCATCGAATTATAATTCTATTAATTAAAAGTACTTAGTTGTAAATTTTTATCCATAAATATTTACAAATGTAAAAGTTATGGCGACAAATAAAATTTTAAATTTCCACTTTAACACGCTGTATCTTTCTTAATATCAACATTTTATTAAGGCAAGTTAACTTAAATCGTAATATATTTAAGTGTAAAATATACGCTTTCTTTTTGTACAATTACTTAAGGACCACCCTGTATAAAGTTCAAAAATAAGTGAATAAGATATATTTAGTTAGTGCATGTCTTTTTGAAATAGCATTTACTTTTTCAGTCCTCTGTTTTCTCAGTGCATATAGTTTAACCCCAAGGTATTTATAGCTAACTTCCTTAATGAGCTAGATACGCTGACAACTGAAGTCTACTACTTCAGTATATAAAGGGAAAACATTACCTGAAGAAAGGTTATTTACTACAGACAGAACAATGCCATTGACTATCTTAGCATTCACACACAAAACATTTTTGAAGTCACCAAAAGAAGACCGGGCTTTTTATGTTTTTTCCTCAACCTGAAAAATGTCTTTTGTGGTAATCACTAATCGATATTATTTTTTAAATATACTATCCTGCTAAATTTTCCAACAGAAGAATGAAAATGATCAGATTGTGGTTTAAATAAACACTGAATATAATCTAAACACTTCCGTTTGGGAACAATTTTTCTAATAATAAATTAACACATATACCATCCTCAACCAACTAAAAAGAGCAGTAAATGCTAAAATGCACGGAACGAGAACCGTTGGAAAGCCACAGCCGCAGACAAGCAAGGGTGGAGGCAAAAAAAGGAGGCCAAGGCTTAATTTGGGCTGTAGTCCCGTAGAAGATAGAGATGTTAATAAATTATGTATAATTCAGTGGTAAACTTAAACACATAAGTCATTCTTTTATTTTAAAAGAACGAACATAAGTCAAAAAAACTTCTTAAATGTTTTGTATTTATGTTTTATTGTAGTAATAGTTTGAAGCCAAGAAAGTACCATATTTTGACTTGCTGTAACTTATTCCATATATATATATATATATATATATATATATATATATATATATATATATATATATATATATATATATATATTATTTTTTACTCGAGCTTTCAATCGTGTTTACAATTATTATCAAGAGCTGCTAAAAAATACAAAATATCTTACAAAGTTGAACTAGAAAGAAAAAAATTTTGTTAACTCACCAAATAAAATTAGTTTAGTATATAAAAATGCTGCTAACATATTTCAAAAAATATTAATATAAAAATGTTTTAATCTAATAAATGCTTCTCTGAAATTTAAATATAATTTTAAAAAGTTTCTTAACACAAAAGCAATTGAATTTATAAATAAATTTGAACAGTGACAATTACAATTAAGCCTCAATGTCATAAATACCAACTTAAAATTTTTATTTTTGACAATTATATTGCCAAAAATAAAATTTTAAATTTAAATTTTATTGTGTTTTTATTGTTTCCTGGTTGTTTTTGTTTTCTATTTATTATATTTTTTTTTTGTTATATTTAATTACTAGTGACTAGATGCTTTTGACTAATACTATCAGTACTGTTTTGAATATATTATGTTCAACATTTTTATATTTTAACTCTTAATCTGTAAGTAAATTCATTGTTTATTATCACCTGTTATGTATATAAAATTTTAACCATATTTTAGTTATCTCCTGAAGAAGCTGACAAAAATCAGCGAAATATAGAGTAATAAAAGAAAAAAGAGTATTTTTTTAATAACAGACTGCATACCTGATACTCCAAAACAATAAATTGTTATTTACGTTTCGGTCGATAATCCTACCAGTTTTGCTATATATATATATATATATATATATATATATATATATATATATATATATATATATATATATATACATTATACTTTATAGTGTGCCCACCTTCTGAAATTTGGAATGACTGCGCCACATGGTTACCCGAGCCGACATGCCAAAACAGATTCCCTTACCACCCAGGATATGGTCCATCTGTATGTTATGAACGTTGCGAATGCGATGCTGAAAATGGGTACATTCGAAATCGTGTTTCTGGAGAATGCGTGTTGGAGGAATGCTGTCCAGGTAAATAAACGATGAAAAGTCCTACTAACATATGTTTTAAAAGAAATTTGAAAAAACAATGAATATAGTATGAAAATAATACAATAAAAAGATTATTAAAAGTCTTGAAAAAAAAATGACTTGAAAAAAATGAGTAAAACAAAAAATGAAAAAAGCTGCTTTCATGATTTCCTATGTTAACAGAACATATTAATAAATAAAAAGTCAAATATATAGAACAAGTACGTCAATTATAATTTAAAATAATATATTCATATAAGTAAACACTATAAAAAGAGAGTATGAGTAACTAAAAAAAATGTGAGGCCGAATATTTACTGTGTCGGGATAGATGAGTTTTTTGCAGATTTGTTCTCATGATTGACAGTGAAACTATACAAAATTTTGTGAATAATTAAAGTATTGATAGTAAAAGGCGATATATAGATATTCAATTTCAAAATGAAATGTCAGACAATTTCATAAGCATAAATTTGATACAACTCGAAACTATTAAGTCCCATCCTAGTCTAATCAATAAAGAATAATGTATAGTAATAGATAATAATCACTTTATGGAAATGAAAAAGTCTCGGGGTTTTTGTAATTTCTAGTTAATTCCTCTAAGCAAGTTGTTTATATATTAAATACTGACAGAACGGTAATAATCTGGTTTATTTAAGGATGTCCACCTTGTGAAATTTGGAACGATTGCGATTCATGTGAGCCTGAGCCAACTTGTCAAAACCCTTATCCAAACTGTACAGGAATAGTATGTCCATTGATGTGTTTTCCTCGATGTCTATGTGACATTGGATATATAAGAGATGAAATTTCAGGTGATTGCGTATCTCAAGAAAGCTGTCCATGTAAGTAAACTTAGTTATATATATATATATATATATATATATATATATATATATATATATATATATACATACATAATTAACCCTAGTGCTAAGATTAATACTATTACAGGAGTTGATATTAATCTCAACTGTCTTCCGGGTTGATACGCGTCGATTATCATTGCGCCGAGCTTTCAATAGACTCTTCGATGTCTTCTTCGGGGCTTCCGAGGTGTCAGTCTCACAAGCCCCTACATTTCTCTGATATTTACAATATCAGAGAAACGTAAGATCTAGTCACCAAAGCATCATAATGCATATTGGCTGTTTACCGATAAAATTCGCACATACATAGATAAGCGAACACGAAAACTAGAAATGACATAAATAAATGGCATAAAGGTGCAGCTTTCGCTACTGGAGGCACTATCATAATAGTCTAGGTAGGTCCAAGGTCTATTATATTTCTTTAATCTGTTGGCTTGTTGAGAATCTGTTGTATGTCTTAAAGAAATTACCTACAGTAAAAAAAAAGAAATTACTTCATGAAAAAGTCAAATGGGAAAATAATCCTTGACTTAACGGAGACAAATGTACCAAAAGAGTCCCAAACACTCACCAAATATAATCAGACTGGCTCAAATTTCTAAATAACGAGAATATCTCTGTAGAAAATAAATTATATTTTCTACATAGTTTGTTTTTTATTCTAATAATTATTATTATTCTCACTAATATATCAAACTAAATTAAAGTCTATACGATCACCATAACATTCCTTGTTCGTGCTGTTTCGTATCAGCTGCGTCTGTCAGTATTGCAGATTCAAAATATTCAAATGATTTATACCCAACTACACTTAACGCCACTTCGTTTTCGCCTTCTCAAATAGAAGCACGCAAGTCAAACCATTTTTGAGTTTCTCTAATAGAAGGAAGTAATAGTTCTCACGCTTCTTAAATAGAAGCAGTTTTCAAATATCCTATTTTATTAAATAGTTAATTAACTATATTAAATTCAGTGCCTGTGTATTTAATATGTACGTACCTGTTATTCTTTCAAACAGAAGAAAAATATTGTGTGCCAACAATTCATAAAAGCCGGTCCGACAAATTACAGGGTTGCCAGATATTCAATGATCTATAAACTTTCTTGTTCTATAAATTAATATAAATAGTTGTGCGTTTTAAGAACATTTTAAGATTTGTTGGCGGTTCAGCTACTTCTATTTATTTCTGTAAATAATATATCTTCGAATTTATTTTGGGTTATATGCCGCAAGGCAACATTATAGTGATAACTTTCACTATATGACTTCTTTTTTATTTTGTATACCCAAATAAGAGAAATAATTTACTTCTTTGTTCTTCCTAGCAAGCTATGTACCTAGTTTTATCATGCGAGTTTAGAGCCTTAAAAAATTATCAAGTAGATTTTTGTGTCAATAGTAGTGTAACTAAATAATTGATGCAAGTCTAAATATTTCATTAAAGATAATATTAAATAAACTCTTCATTAGGCGTTCCGACATTGAGATGGGACTCCACTTTCAAAATAAATAGCTTATTTCAATTTACAATGGACCTTCAAATATGTGTGATTAGAACAGAGAAATTAGCAAATAGAAAGTCTTTTTCGTGACTCTTGAATATATATATATATATATATATATATATATATATATATATATAATATATATTATATATATATATATATATATATATATATATATATATATATATATATATATATATATAATGAATACTGGATATTCGTGACTGTCAATTTAAACAAACAACAAAGTTTATTGGGGCTGCAGTCAGAAGTTTGGCCGGGATGTTACAGAAACACTCTTTTGACTTTTGGTCTAGCTTTCGGAATTGTTTAATTCCTTTATCAAGACACTGTAATTAGAAAAATGTGTAAATATTTACAATATATCACAAAATGTCAGTGTACTTACTAGTCGTTGAGATTTTTTGTACGAAGCTATGACACTCAACATTAATAACAAACATATACACTAAAACTTATACAATAATTAATACAATACATTTTAAAATTTAGTTAAAAATAATACACGTTCTAAAAAGTTCGTTTTCTACATCTTCTTGGTGTGTTTTAACTTACCCATAGAGAATAAAAAAAAACAAAAATAAAAATAGTATGATTAAAACTTCATTAGGAGTTCTTCATATGTTATTAATAGAAGGTAATGTATTAAACCTGTGTTGATGGTATGCAACCTGTTTAGCATGCAGGTGTATTATGGTGTGTATATGTACCAGTAAGTCTTTGTGTCATTTTTGATGTTTAGTCAGTAAATAACAATAAATGTTACTCAATTTCTCTATATCGGATTTCTTATTTATACAAGACGCACTGGACTTTATTAAACACATTTCCAGGAAAACACGTTTAGAATGGTTATTTTCCCTTGCCAGAATACAGGAATCCTCGAAATTACAATGGAAATTTTTTCAAACAAATCTTTGGCACTCCAATGGGCAGCAAAATATCTCCCATTCTATGTAATTTTGTTTTGGATGAACTTATAAGAAAGTGTAAAGAAAAGATACCTTTTCACATACCTTTCATCAAACGATATGTAGATGATTTGATTTTATCAGTCCCGGAAAACAAAATCACTGATGTTTTAAAAATCTTTAATGCCCAGTGTGAACACTTAAAGTTTACGGTTGAGAGAGAGGCTGAGAATATGATTCCTTTTTAGACATGCTGATACATCGTGGCAGTGATGGCATGCTAAAGACGGAGTGGTATCGTAAACCTTGTTTTAGTAACCGTTTCATAAACTTTTATTCTCAACATCCATCTAAGATGAAAACAAATTTGGTTTTGGCCCTCAAAACTAGGGTTATCAACTTATCACACATTGAGTTCAGAGACAAGGGACTGAAAAAGTTGAGATCTATACTACAAGAGAACTCCTATCCCATAGGGCTTTTAAATAAACTCATTTTTGGTACTACTTTTCCGTTGCAATTTTCTGAGAACCAAAATTTTCATAAAAATGAGGTCCGACAACTGACATCGACATTGACACATGATCTTTTTGATTAAGATTTTGAAACAAATATCATTTCTAAACAAAATTTCAAACCCACAGTATGGTGGAGGTATGTAGATGATGTATTCTCAATATGGCCTCATGGATCAGAGTTGTTGGACACATTCCTAAATGATATAAACGATAAAGAAGAGACAATAACATTTACCATGGAAAAGGAATATAATAACACGCTACCTTTCCTGGATGTTTTAATCTCTAAGAACGATACTGGATATGAGACTCAGGTGTATAGAAAACCAACACACACCAATAGATATTTAAATTTCAAATCAAATCACAATATTAATGTAAAAAAGGGAATAATTAAATCCTTATACGATAGAGCCAAAATTACTTGTTCTAATGAAAATTCGTTCTTGGAGGAGAAACATTTGTTAACATCTGTTTTATTAAAAAATGGTTATTCTTTATCGTTTATAAATAAGGAATTTTCAACAATCGATCGAATAGAACAGAACAACTTAGAACGAGATCCTACAGCATACACAAGGAATAATATGAGGAAAATAACAATACCGCACATAAACGGACTATCAGAAAAACTTAAAAGGATAGAAAATAAATTCAACATTTCAACATTCAAAACAACAAACACGTTGAGATCTATTTTGTCCAAAACCAAACCTAACAATGAACAAGAAAGGACAAAGAATTGCATTTATAAAATACCATGTGAATGCGATCAGTTTTATTTAGGTGAATCATCAAGGCCATTAAATGTTAGAATAAGTGAACATCAATCTTATATTAAAAATAAAGAATTTGATAGATCTCAAATCTGTAAACACGCATGGGATAATGAACATAGGGTTCAATGGAATAATTCAAATGTAGTCCTAAAAGAAACGGATAGTAAGAAAAGAAAAATCAAAGAAGCGGCTCTAATTATGCTAAATGAGGCCAATTTTGTCGCAAATTCCTCGGCAGAATGTAGTAGGATCTGGTTACCAATATTGAAAGAGGAAGTTATTAATAAGAAAATACCAGAAAATACCAGTATTAGTAAGTCTATGTTTTTTAAATAACGTAACATATAAAATCAGAATTTTGATGTTTGTTGAAGGTAAACTAAATTCACGAACAAATACTTACAATGTCGGGATAGTATTATGAGGTTTTTTTATGGTTTTCCCTCATAATTTACTATGGAATCACTAACAGGAGAATTTTACTGTCATCATGTTATGTGTTTGTCTTTTTAAAGACGAATTACATGCTATGATTTTTTTCTGACGGATATTCTCAAGTTAAAGTTGATTTCATGTAATCGAATGAACTATCTCAAATAAGTGTAAAAACATAGTGGAGCATCGCACCTCGCCAGTCACATTGCTACGCAGTACGCACATTGCCGATTAAGAAACAATTTAATAGATTTACATAGCAGTGTGCATCACGGAGCATCGCACCTCGCCGGGAACATCGCTACGCATCTCGCTACGTTTTGAAGAGCAAAATAATTTGTTTTTCTGGATACAGTAGCATGAAAGTCACTACCTGATTGGCTGTTTCAAGGTTAACTTACCGTCGTATATCTTTTGCTCTCTATCTGCCAGCGGTTAGAAAACGGTTGGGATCATTTGCAGTTAGAAAACGTTTGATTCATGCACGATGGATAAAGAGCAATTAATTAATGAAATATTTAAAAAGCCCCCAATATGGGATCAGCGACACAAGGAACATCATAACCGCTACGTGCTAGACAAGGATTGGAAAACAGTAGCTAATAACTGCGGTGTTTCAGGTAAGCAATCAATTTGTTTGTTTCATCCTGTGTTATTATTTATATTCTAATTAGATAGGTATGTAATCGTACTAAGATATGTTCAAGATGCCATTTTTATTGATACATTTAATTGAATATTACAATTACGGAAGAGTTTTGTTACTAATAAAATATTGTTTAAATGCATTTCTCACCGAAGTAGCCTCTGC